TCATTCATTCATTCATTCATTCATTCATTCATTCATTCATTCATTCATTCATTCTTATTTGGTTATATACACAAACACACTTCCTTTTTCATTTGATACATGACCTTTGAACATTCCTAAGTATAGTAACATTTTTTCTGATGTTCTTAAATTCTAATGTGATTATCTCCTTTAGATCATCTATAGGACCTGACTTTTGGTACACTCTGTGTGCGTGTGTGTGTGTGTAGGCTCATGGGTAACTTTAGGCCAATCACTTTCTCACAGGGTTGTAGGAATTGCTGAATTATGGAACTGATTACACAGGCTACTGACATCATTTCTTTGAGTTAATAGTTAAATTTTCAGAATGTTCCTTAAAATCTGATTTCAGAAGCAAAATCTGAAAATGTTAGATCACGATCTGATTTTGAATTTGGAGGAATATTGATTATCCTGAAACAATTACATAGTCAGTGAGATAATATTGGCCTTTAATGATAGGTAAGCTCACCTGATCTTGATTTAAAGTCAAGTTGGGTAAAAAAGGGCAGTAAGGCTCTGGTGATGGATGAGGCTAAGTGAGCTATAACAAATACATTCCAAACTTCTATGAAGTTTGAATTTGATTTATGTGGGGTTAGGATAATTAAGAATTACATTTTCCTTTATATCCCCAATTTCCATAGGTAGCTGTTTGGGATCATTTCTATTTCCCTGTTAACTGGGATGCTCCGAATTGTAGTCCGAAATGTTTGGACAAATACCAGACTGTGGAAAGCTGGCCTATCTTCTATTCTTTGGTACAAATAGCACTGATGGTGCTGGAAATTTGTTTCTTTCACAACTGTTTGAGCAATTCATCTGAAGGCCTACAGTTGGAAATACAGAGAATTCACTCAGTTATTCTTCCTGGATTTCTTCCTTTATAATTCCTTTTTACCATTTTGTTTTCCAAGAGTCCTACTTATGCTTCTGAATTATTGCTATCTTCTGCCAAAGTGGTATTTGAAGACATTCAGAAATAAAATTGTCACCACATTAAACCACAATCTTGACAAGTCAAGAAAGTAAATGGTCCTAGTCTAAATGAACAAGATCAAAATAAGGCAGCTTCATAATCTATAGGAAATTCTCTTGCCTTTTTAATAGCATCCGTAGCACAACTCTTGACACTTATCTGCCCACTTTCTTACCTGTGTCACAGTTCTGAAGGCAGAAATGTCTGATGTTTTGGAAAGCATAACCAGACCTGCAGAGAAATATTTAACTGAATGCATCTTTTTTTTTTTTTAATGCTTACACCATTTAGAAAATGCCTCCCACCTTCCCCAAGCTCTCAGCTGCACCTCTACCATATGCAGCATTTAATGATAACAAGTGCTGTCAACTTTTAGGACAGAGTTTCTATAATTCTTACAATTAGAAGCATCATATATCATTAGATTTTGTATTTAACATATAAAACAAACAAATGGTGGGGTAGGCTGCTGAAATGTTTTTTATCAGTGAAAACAAATTATTTCATGATTGCATCCCCTTTCTAACTGTTTTTACTTAGTATTTCTTTTGCATTATAAGTCAATATTTTTTTTTGCAAAAGATGTCTGGTGTTTGGGTCCAAATTCCACCTTTGAGTGCATTCAAGCAACCTCCATGGACTTCAGCAATTACTGATCACATGTCTGCCTCATGGCAAAATCTGGTTTGTGGATTGCTTGTGTTTGATCTGCTACAATGGTGAGAAAGCTTCCAGTGCTTTGTGTGGAAGAAGCTAAATTTTCAAGCTTTCCACACAAGGTGCAAAACATTTGGGCCAACACCTTTGCAACGATTAGGCATAAGGATTCATTAGCCAAATATGGAACTGCAGAGAATGTGCGGATAAATGCATCAAATTTTCCATGGATCATGGATCTTTATGAAAGTTACTTGATCCCTATAAATAACAGAAAGCTTCTGGCACTATATTTTAAAATGTTTGAGATACCGAAGGAGTAGATTTTTATTTGAGCCCTACCACCTACTTTCTTTCCTTTGTATCATATGTCAGGGTTTTTTTTTCTCCCAGGTATGTTTTTGGCCTTTAAAAAAATGGCCCCATAAATGTATGAGGAAATCCAACATATGAAATTGTTTCTTGGGATTATATTTTAATTGATTGTTTTTTGCTTTCTTGAACAAAAAGTATGTCCATTTGTATCTTTCAAATACTGAAACAGGTTTTGGGTAGGGCTACCACTGTTTGTGGCAGTTACCCCTTCTTTCAAAAAAATCTGTGAAGACTTTATTGCTTTTTGGGTATTGGCTGATCAGCTACTTCCAGTAATGCCCATGCTTGTGCTGAATTCAAACCCAAACTTTCAGCAGAACATACCAAAATGTTTTATGTTGCCCAAGCTGTCAATCTGTCTCATCAATATTGTCCTTCCTTGCTGGCCACAGCATTCCAGAATCCTGGGCAATCTTCTGCTAACCAGGACCTTTTCTTGAAGATGCCAGATGTTGAATTGGTTCCCTTTTTCATGCAAAATATGTGTTCTATTAAAGAACCAAGGTAGCTATTTTTTCTTCTATCCAACATCAACACTCAGCTGGGTCTTAAAATGAGGAATTCCTGCAAAAAGATGTTATTGAGAAATGGGTATAGAAGCTACTCAGCCTAAACAGCTAATAGATATTTGCTTTCATAGTTACATTGCCAGTGACTGCTCACAGGCTTGTGAATTACTGATGCAGTCATCAATCTACACTCACTACATGCTCTTTAAAATGGAAATGTAGCAATAAGGTAACGATTCAGGGTTTCTTGTCTTCTTGGAACAAGTTCCTTTTCTCCAAAGCATAGTGAAAGGAACTTGTTCCAAGAAGACAAGGAATATGCACTGATTTTTAAAATATTGAATAAAATGGATTGACATTTATTTTATGTTTAATGGGTAATTCAGCTGGAGTGAAGAATCTGTGAGCCTCTGGATGTTACTGTAGTACAGTTCTCAGTATCAGCCACCATTGTCCATGCCAGCTGGGGCTGCTGGGAGTTGTGAATAAACAACATCTGAATGACTGTAGCTTGTCCATTCCTAGTCTATGGTCAATGCATGTACAGAGTCCTGTGTTGCATAAATATATTTTTATTGAGACTTTATGTCTGAAGGGGGCCATTTATGGAATCATCAGAAATTGGGTAACATCTGAACCAAGCTGTTGAGCGTAAAGCTTTATTGGATACTCTGGAAAACTATGCATAGGTACTCTCTTGTTTTGCTGGTTTTTAGCATTAGCTGGTACCAAGGAACACACAGGAAGAAGGAGCAGAAGTTACGTGCTTAATGCTCTTAGAGAAAATAATGAATTCATATATGAGTATTACATCCTGCAGACCTCAAGGCAATAGCCTTCCCCCCCCATTCCCTCCTTTGCTAATTATATCTTATAAAAACAGCACCCTCTAAACCCAGATGTTCATATTCTAATACTAACATTCTGTAGTTCATCTTTACAAAGCTAGCTAACACATGTTTTAAAAGTTATTGTACTATATATAACAGCCTTGCCTAAGAGAATAGAGTCCTGCTACATTTAGAAAATGCAGGTGCTATGTAAGCTCCCTTTTGAAAGCAAGGACTTAGCTCAGTTTCCTTTGAAGATCCAGAGACTTGAAACTGAAAACTTTTATTAATGCCATTGTCTCCTTGTATCAGCAGGTTCCAGAGAGATTCCTGGAAGTGGCTCAGATCACATTACGAGAGTTTTTCAATGCCATTATCGCAGGCAAAGATGTTGATCCTTCCTGGAAGAAGGCCATATACAAGGTCATCTGTAAGCTGGACAGTGAAGTTCCTGAGATTTTCAAATCCCCAAACTGCCTCCAAGAGCTTCTCCATGAGTAGAGATTTTCAACCACTATTTATGAATGTATTAAAAAAAGTAGCAGACTCTCCCTTTTTTATGCCCAAGCTGTGTGTGAGTGTGTGTGTATGTGTTTCTATATTAATTTCATATATGAAATCAGATCAGAATCCCTTGTGATTTCTTATAAATTTAGGTCAGTAATAAGTGTATAATTATTTTAACTCCAGCCTTTGTTTTACTTTTGCCGGTGACTTTTAACATTTGGGGAAAAAACAGTATTGGGGCATTTTCTTCCCCTCCCTGTCCCTTTTCTTACCCCTTGAGAAGAAGAATGTTTTGAAGTGTGTACAAGCCTCTATCTATATCTACTGTATCTATCTATCTATCTATCTATCTATCTATCTATCTATCTATCTATCTATCTATCTATCTATCTATCTATCTATCTATCTTACTATATATTACTCATTACAAGGTGGTCTTTTTTCCCAAATAGGCTAACGTCATGGTAAACTCCTTCAGAAAGTGATGGCCCTTTGTCTGTATTAAGCTCTTAACTCTATGAGGGGTTTTCACATCTACGTTTTCTAAGTTTTTAGTTCAATTGCTTAATGAAGGAAGTGGACTTTTTGTGTTACACCATAGAAGACATATAAATGCCTCTTTTCCTTGCTCAATTGAGAGCAAAAGACATCATCTACACCAAGCCTTATGGCTTTCCTTTTACAAAAATGATGTATGCCCTCATTCTGGTGTCTTTTATGCTATTACAAGTATGTGTTTCAGCTCCTTGAGTCCTCCTGTAATGATTATTGGGAGAATTACCTACCTACTATTTCTCTGTTAGGAAGTTTGGGAAAGCAATAGTAGTGGGAAGTTCTCTCAGAAGACACCAGAGTTGAAAGCATATTCTGTTCTGTTTCATATTGGGCTCACCACGTTTTAGAGAGGGCTGGATCCATACTAAAGGAGACTGCGAGATGGGACTGGATGAATCCAAAATTCCAGAGCTGGAATGCCCTTATTTTTTTGGTGCTTGCCTCAGCTATATTTATCTAGCTATGTTCCCCCTTCTCCTTTCAAGCAAGGCAATACTGTGCAAAACAAATGAAGGCAAGATAACTTGTAGTTTGGCAAATACACTTTCATGATATGGTCAGCTTCTTAAAACAATAGCATTTCACTCTCCATAGAGAAAAAAAAAAGTTTGCTGTATGATCTTTGGCCATAGTGGAGCATTTTAAATTGTTTTATTGGTCATGGGATAAATATTTCCTATCAAAATCAGTAGAACCCAAAAGCAGCAATCCCATGCACATACATTTGGGGATTAAGTCCAGAACTGTTTTCTAAACAGATGTTTATAGGATGCCTATGATGATTGCTTAATGTTTTATTTTGGCTGAATTGTGCCCTTTTACTTGATCACATTGAATAGTTGGGTCTGGGCCATCTTCTAAATAGCATTTGATACAAATGTATTCTTCTCCTTCTTCTCTGAAATCCTTAGGTGATGTATATATTTGATATTTCATATTTTTACCTGAAAACATGTTTTTAATTACTTTTTCATCTGAGAAACATTGTAAGATATATTTGTTTTATTCTCAAATTACTATGGCAAAAAAGAAAAAAATGACATCATCACAGAGTGCAAGAACACTTTCTATATATTAGAAATGGAATAGAAACATTTTTATAAAAATATTGTTTAAAGGAATAAACTAGGCACAATATATACTGAAAGCACAACTCTGGAGAAAGCTGCACATACAGTTAAGTGGTTTCCTGTGCTAATTAACTTTCTAGGTCTTGAGCACGCTTCATGAGCACTGGATTGTGCCTAAACGTTGTGCAGAATTTGTATTTCTGTCCCATCGGCTAGGAAAACAAAAGCTAGCCACTTTATTCATCCCTCAATTGTACATAATTCATAAGCAATGAATGGAAGTAATTAAATACTTTCTCTTCTACAGCAAAAGTTAGCGCCAAACAAAACATGAGAGCAGTGCATAATATATTAAAGAATGGAGCTCTTCAGAGTTGTCCTGGTATTTTCAAGATAATCTTTTGCAAAGAAGAGCCACTGAGTCCTACTTCTGGACTGTTTCAATAAAGCTAAACTCAACTTGCCGAATGCAGAGCTGCCACTGAAAATTGTAACCATGCTAATGTTTCGCTACTCTCTATACTATCCATCTGATTGCATACTGAGGCCATGACGTTCCATGTCCCCCACCAGCAGTTGATGACATGAGGGCAGGGAAGCACAAAACGTCCTGATGTCCAAACACAGCAAGTTCTACTCCATGCTGGCGATGGGAGGAGCTTACTTTAGGGCTGCCATTTTCAGCAAAGACGGAATATTTTTACTTCTCACTGGATCTGATTTTTGATATTTACTGGAACAGAGTGCGTGTTCAAGTCCAAACTGGAATTTCATCTCAAAATGACAAAAACAAGGTTGATCTTACAGTGAAAAGTAGGAATAAGGGTGGTATGGATCTAGCTGAAATCAATTGAGACAATCTGTCTAATTCAAAAAGAAGAAAAGGTTCCCTGCAAGTTTTTATGCTTTCTTCAGAGGTCTCTCTCTTTTTTTTTCTTTTCACACTTTTGGAAAGTGGTAGTGTCTAGTAGTATTATGTATATGCTATGGCACTATGTGTTTGTCGTTTTCTGTGTCTTTTGTACAGATGCAGTAAGAATTTATTGTTATCTGGACTAGTATTTATCATTACCTGTTATCTCCCCCAGGAAATTGAATCAGATTCAGTCCTAACTGGCCATGGTGGCAGTTTTACAGTTCAGCAGATAGTTTTCTTTAGTATCCTCCTTTTTCCCCCCTTTGTTGAAATTGCTTTTTAAAGAAAAACAAAACATAAATTGTATTTTGACTTTGGAGAGTGAAAGTTTACCCCATATACATTACTATAATAAAACAGCTGACCTAGTCATTGCAATGATGCCTCATTTATAAATATTGCTTGAGAAACAAAAAATGATGAAAAGAGTTGACAATGAAAAGCAAAAGCCTTAAAACCTGCTGATTTTTTTTTTAAAAAATGAGGGCATAGGCCTTTGTCTAATGACAGAAACACACAGGGTTTCTCAATATGCAGAATAGCAGTTTTCTTGGTGCAAAAGCTTTGCTGAAGCCAGCAAGATGCACTTAAGCACACACTATGTTAAAGTCCAATGGGCCTTTTTGTATGTACTACTCCTAGCTAAAAAGCAAAACAAAACATAGTTTAATAATCCAGAGATAGGTTCCCATATTTGTTTTTCTTCTTGAATGCTACTTTTAATATTTTAATTCTGGTGTTTCAAGGAGAGTTCCCCAATGTATCGGACATAAGGAATTGGTTTAAGGTCAGTTTATTAACTAGGATCTGAAATCATCATTGGATCGTGGTTTAAGATCCTAATTAGTTAATTAACATTGAACAACTGTTCCTTGTCCCTGAGGTGAACATTTCAAATCAATTCAGACTGAAGTACCAGAAGTAGTTCACATAGAGAAAAGATAATGGGAAAGCATGCCTACCATTCTGGGAGATGCTATTTCAACCCATCTGGAGTCAGTCCAACTTTTTAAAAAATGGGGATGAGCATTATGATTACATCCTTTTATCTTCTCATTTTGAAAGAAGTGATTTAAAGCATATTTCTGCTAAAGGTTTCTGGAAAGGTGCAGGAGGCTTTAAAGAGAAACATTTTCCTCATGTTCTTGCAGGAACCTATTTAGATGTCTCCATATTCAAAATGGCATGAAATCCTCTAGCAGTCCACTCTAGCAGACCCTCCTGCTGTATTATCACCTTGGCCATGACCAAATGTACCCAACTAAAGCCATACTTCATTTCTTAGACACAATTCTGAAGACTATACATTGTTAGTAACATTACTGCTGTTAGCTCTAGTGCAGTTTGTCTTGACTGAAATGTGATTCATTGAACTCAATGACCTCTTAAAACTTATGCCAATTATTTATTTATTTATTTTGAAACATAGCTTATGTAAAAATGAGAGCAAATGAGGCTTCAAAACGCTCAAAGGGGTGGGGAGAGAACCAAACAAACCTTGATTTGCTTTTTTTTAAGGATTTATACCTGCTTATTGACTAGTTATTTAATTATAATTTCATTGTTTTAGTTGTACTGCCTTTGTGCCTCCCAAAGCATGTCAGATTGAGTGTGAAATATCAATTTTTGTTCTATTTTAAGGATACTTTGTCATTCTCCCAATGATTTCTTTTAGGATTCCATTTAAAAAAAATAAAATGATGACTTTATGCCACAGATTTCATTGCCACACTGAGTTCTGTGTCTACGGACGCCAGAGCACCCCAAGTTGCTGAGGTTATCCTAGCATGTTTCCTGTCCATTTAAAAAGAAGAAGAAAGGGAGAAAACAAGAGGATAGCTTTGTTATTGATAGAATTAGCTGGATTCTTGTGTAGGTGAGCTGGCCCCACCCTGGACATTCAGGCAATAGACCAACTACAAATGGAAATTGATTTAATGCTAAATCTGGAAGCATTAGGACCAACAGTTCTATGAAGCAAAGCACTGTAACACAATTTCTCTAACTACACTTCCTGGGAATTCTTGAGAGAGAATTATGGTCACCTCATCTCTATAAATCTGACATAGGTTTTTTGCATGAATCCCCTGATTTTTGATAACACTGCACCTGATTACTGTTGATTTTGTAGCCAGGCATTCCTTTATCAGCTTCTAATGTCAGGACACTGCAGCAAGTGTAAACCTGAGCCACATCCAGCAATAGTAGTTACTCAAGAGCATCCATAGAATATGGTAAAAAAGTCAAGATGGCAGCTGTGGCAGTGCAGTTGAAGCTTCGCCTGTTTATGTGCAATGCAACACACATGAAACGTGGAGCTTCAGTCGCATCATTAAGGCCACTATTTTGACTTCCTTGACCACACCTGTGGACATCCCTGTACCTCTATTCCCAGCCCCTTTTATGTTAGCAAAACTGGATGGGACTGGGTTAGAAAAGACAGAAGGTGCTTTTTATATAGGAAAGAGAAATCGACATAGGGAAATTAATTCAAAACACTTTTAAAAAAAACTGAAATTCTGTGCTGACATTCATTTTCCTACTCTTTCCCTATTTTCCTCACTACAGAAACTGGGGTTTATTGTGTGTGCCTAGACCTTAAATGCACCAGCGGAGGGATTAGATAAAACAAATCCTTCAAATTACCAGTTATTCTCCCATAACCAGTACAATTGTTCTTGTGCCTTCTGTGGCTTTCAATTTTCATATGTTTGGACCTTCCTCCCTCCATACAGTTCCCCAGATGCAATAAACACTGGTTTTCTCTCCACTTTTTTTCCAGCTGTTTAACATACTGTTGATAGCTATGCACATTTTGTGTCTTTTTAAAGAAAATTAAAAACAAAAGCAGGAGAATAAGTTTTTGAAGAAGATAATTTTTAGAACAGTTTGATAATGCAAATTATTTTTTCTCAATTGTTTGAGCAGCATTCAATTTTGAAAATTTCTTGTAGAAGCCAATTTTTTGTAACAGTGGTGCAGATCTTGTGTTTTCTTAGCCTAACAAAAGGTAGTATAGAAGCAATATTTCCTACGTATTATATATATGTGTATACATATACATACATATATAACCATATATACACCTGCTAATATATATAAAGATATATATACATATATATATATATACATATACATACAGTACATACATACATACATATATATATACTGTATATATATATATATCTGTATGTATGTATATATGTATACTTATACACACACAATAAGCGTGTGAAGTGAAAATCTTACATTTTTCCAGTGTAGATTAAGAACCTATTTTAGACATGTGTTATGCTTTGTGAAAAGAATGTTCTATTTGAAACTATAAAACACTTAATTCTTACTGTATCTCTGGTTGTGTAATGGGAACGCTTCACATTAAACAATTTTTAAAAAGTGAAAGATATTAGGACGTAATAATTATTTAAGGAAGTGTTCACCCATATATTCTTGAGGTTTGCTTTGTGCCTCTGAGTATTATTTAATTTAAAGTGTTTTAAGTTTGCAGAATCATTGTTACTGTACCAAGTATGTGGGTGAACATCTATAGCTGAGGGGAACTTTTATAAAGCAATGTATATATTCAGCTTGAGGGCTCTTCTTGAATAAAAGGCATATGATTTTAATAACTACATTCTGAGAACATCTGTTAAATTTATAGGAACTGCTGCAGTAACTGCATAGATAGTTGAAAGCATTCTTTAAAACCCAGCTCAATACTTTTAAAAGATAGATTTCTCTCATCATGTATTCAGGAGAAGGGTGATCCACTTTCTGTAACGTTACAGAATTTTTTTCTATGTGCACAATATAATTTATTGGCAGTGGATTCCTCCCTCCACAGGTTAATATTAACTAAAAAGTAGAAGTGAAGATTTTGTGGCTTTAAATATAGGACTTTCACCAGCAGAACTGAAAGATATAAATAAATAAATATAT